AAAAAAAACAAACTCGCATCCTTTCTTTTGGAAGCCGATTCGAAGCTGATCAGAAGTTGAACTTACCCCTAATCTTAGATAATCAAACTCTACATATTTACGCCACTCATAGAAGATAATGGCTCGAAGATAGTCTTGTGAGATTAAATAGTGTTTGAACTCAGGCAGGCGCACGCGCCCTTATATACCTTTTGCGGAGAAGCTCCCAAAATGTTCTAAAACACGGAGAAGCTCCCAAAATGTTCAGGAATGATAGGTCCGGACTCTGGTCAAAAATCGAAAATCTCTCACTTTTCAAAAACCCTATTAAGGCCTCTCGACCAACCTAATATTTACATGACGTGGGTATGGATCTAAATGTGGCAACCCCCTCCTGAGTAGTTTACGCCTATGATCTTATAGGGTTTATTATCGAAAGTCATTGATGATTCCGTAGATGTGAGAGCCTAAGGGGCGTAGGTCGGATATTAGTTAAACAGTATGTAGTAAAGCTCACAGCGCAGGTGAGAAAAGTAGAAAGTGCACGGGCAAAACTTGTGTGAATAAATTAGTAAAGCTAGGAAGCTAGCTAGTAAAATTAGTAAAGGCCCACTACACGATAGTTTTGAGGTATCCCTTTTATTCAAAAAGCGAAAGTATAGATTGGGAATAATCCATCGATAGTGTAGGAAGCGAGAGATTCCGCCGATTTCGAGAAAAATATGACTACCCAACAGGGGTCGGACGAATTACCATGAAGGGATTAACACGGAGAGGGGTATTTGGACGACATTTCAGTTGTTGCATTTGCGCAAACAGCTGAATACATCAAGCCAGAACTGTACAAAACTGCCTTTCACTCTCGCTATGAGTCATGAAAAGTTGTTTGATTTTCCTACATGGGTTCTCTTGTGATCGGCACAGCTTCCGCAATGCCGATGAAACTCGTCTGAGGATACACACGGGCCAATTTTCGAGCCTTTACAACTCCCTCACTAGGCCGTTTTCCGACCTAATAGCGCCAGATATGGTGTACGCGGGGGCCTCAAATTCATCCTGTGGAGGAACCTCAGAAATCGTTTGCATCGTGAACTGGGCCTTTGAGATCCTAATTCTCATATGCTGTACCGCATAACAGGCTGAGCATAGCGAGTGCATAAACCCCGTAGGCAGTCTAGAATCTAACTTTCTGGAGTGTCCTGAGTCAATGCTTGGCTTGTACGTGGCTATGAATCTAACAATTGATTTTTACAGTTATACGGGATCATTGGAGAATTTGTGGGTATGGCCACGACTGAGGACTTTATGGTGGCCGCTTTTGTCATCGCTAGAAACAGTCTAAAAAAAGGCTTAAGTGAGTTCTAGCGAACATCGTTATACTTTACTTGGTACCTCTAATGAAGTCAACTAGTCTTAATAGTACCCCATACAAATAGTGAAAACCTCAGAATCCAATAAATACCTGGGCCATACGGCATGAGATTTATTATGAGCTCCATACATGAGAATGAACGTTCGTCCTTCCCATCATAACTCCTTGAAAGTTGTCGACCAATCCTAAACATCTATTCGACAACGATAGAATTCAAAAAAAAGGAAATACAAAATAGAAAAATAAGAAAAATAGATAATATTTTAGGTTATTCTTGCCTTCTGGGACCTCGTCCTTGTCTTTGAGCATACGGAACATAATCGGATTCTGCGACAATTTTACTTATACTCGGGCCCAGAAATTCAGCTTCTTCCTGAACGAGCAATAACAATAATTAAATGATTTTCTGGGTTCAAAAGTTCGGAAACCTACAAATAGCAGTTGAGTGATCATGTAGTTTACGATCGTACTCATTCTCTTCTTTTCCTTAGTGGCTATAAGTGAACTCAACCACGCGAAATACGACGGCTGTGAAATGACAACCTGAAAAGCACTTTCAAAGATTCGGTCCTACCGAAAGCTCCGGGTTATCCTACATACTAAAAAGGTGTTTCCCATCTGTCATGAAAGTACAGCAACAACAAGTTTCAATCCATTCGACCTTCTAACATATCTGCGAAT